CTACCAAAAAAATGGCATTTTCAAAATCTTTTTCTGAATTTAAAATTGCTATAACTTTCTTTTTTAAACATTGATCCCAATGAAATTTAAAAAAAATATTTAAAGGCAATAAACTTTCATTTAGTACACTTTTTCGTCAATAATTCATAAAATCTAAGTACAGAGGAGATTTAAAGAATATTTTTGCAGTTTATTTTAACTCGATTTTTGAATGATCCGGGAGATTTTACAACTTCTAAAGTATATCAAAATAAAACTTTTGAAGTACACTACAATATAAGAAAAACATTCCATGGCTGTTCTTTTATGAGAAATCGGCCGACAAATTAGTAATTTTTTACAATTTAACACTAAAAATTACAGATATTCAAATTATTATGAAATTTAAAATATATGCATCTACTTGTTTTTATTACCTAAAATTAATTGTTAATTTAAAAAAATCTTAGGTTTGAATTGAATATGAATTTTACATATACAGAGTATCTCAGAACTAACTTATAATGCTTATCATACTTGATACTACAATTATAATTTTTTTTTTTTTAAATTATTGCCTTCTTAGATTTTGTTTAAAGCATATAATTTTATTATTTGTTACTAATAATAATTTTTTATTGCTTTTCAAAATTTTTAAATTTTTCAAAAAGTTTGAAAGTTTATTAAAATGAACATTTTCTTAATGATTTATTTTAACATATTAATTAGTAAAAAAACATTAAAAATTAAAATGAAACAGTAAATTATATAACAAATAGTATCCCATTCATTGATAAGATTAAAACTGATTGACGACAATTTTAAAAATTTTTAATTAAAAAATAAATTTAAAAGTCTTTACGTTTAGGTAGTTTGTTTCTGAATTAGGCCCTTATATCTGGGGACCTCGATACCGCCCCTTAGCCATCCTTAATTCGGACCTGCAAACAACCCACTTAACACTAAAATGAGTATATTTTGTATCAAGTATAAATAGTCAAAGCATCATCGGGTCAAATCAAAATATCTTCAGTCATACCAAGTGAATATTTATTCAATAAAATTTCATCTATTTCACTTGTATTTCTTTCATAAATAATTATTAAAATTATCTCCACTATTTTAATAAAATGTAATGTACAATTATATTAACTAATTAAATGACATAACAATATAAATATAAATACATATTGCACAAATATAAAGTTTTTGTGTTAACAAAAAAAAAATAAATAAAAAAAGATTTATTACCAACACTTTTTAATTTTAAAAACTTTTCTTTTAGTAAGTCACATACGTTTACATATAAAACTATGATCAACTAAATATTTTTCTCTTCGAAAAATTTAGTGGTCCAGTACTTCCCAAAGGCGCATTATATTCAAATTAAAAATGAAGTCACGTTATTTAAATTTATTGTTCTTATATTATGAGATAGCAAATTCGTCCTTGCGGCGAATTTTTCTTTATTTTTTTAATTAATAGTGCCATTGTTTTTCCAACTCAAATAAACTGTTCTATTCTATTTTAAATACATAGACTAGTTATTAAATATTAGAAAATACTATTTAACTTTTAACTAGCACAAGAAAGATTTTGATTAATAATTATCTCTAATCGCCTAGAGTTAGACATTTTTATTACAGGAGTGACTTATAATTTTATGAATGGATTTTTGTTTTTATTTGTAAATACTTTTGTGGCTAGAGCTTACAACTTCTATAATTTGCATATTTCAAATTTTAAGTACTATATTTTGCTTATTTTATGTTTTTTGAGCTATTTTTGTACCGTAATAGAGAATATTATTCGTGAAGTTAAAACATATAAATTTTATTTTTTTTACAACTATTGTAATAAAAAAAATTTTGGATGTAAGGAAAATGTAAAGTTTTCTACTCCTTTTGTTTTAAAGGTCACTAATTTAAATTTTATGTCAGCTTTCAAATTTATCTTAATTTTGAAGTACAGAAAGTCAAAATTTTTAAATAGAGTCAAAACAAATTCTGTTCATAATACAAAATTATTTTACTCATTTTTTAATTAAGCCTTCCAAAAGAATATATTTATATACAGAGTGATCGAAATCTGGTAAGATAATAATTTTCTTAGAAATTATGGAAAATTTTTTATTTTTACAATGAGAAAATTATTAGGTTAAAAAACTAAAACAAAATATACTTAAATTATTATTTTATCCCTTTAGGATAAAAATCCTGTAAGTAATTTTCTTAAATAGGCATCTTTCTTTTTAACTGACAATATGATAGAAAAAAAAAATTGTAAATCAATCTTATTCTTATAATTTGTTTTATTTGATAAATCCTTGCGTTTTAAGATTGTTTAAATATTTGGATTTCAAGAAAAATGTATTAATGAAATGATTTTATCAACAAATTTATTACAGTAATTATCAAGAAAAAATGTCCACATCATTTAATTAACTATATTCATTATCTTAGTCAATAAAAATCGGTTTATATGACAGCTTAAAATGAATACTACAGTATTTAAACCAGTCAAATAATAAAATTTTGGTCTAAAATCCACTTAACTTTAACTTGTAACATATTCATGGTTCAAACGGTTCATCGAATGCGGCAATATTCATCGTCCCAGTTTTAACAAAAATTGATACTATACTTATTCTTTCTTAATTATTTAATAAGAAAAATGTATTCTTTAATTATAATTGTATTCTTCGAAATTCTAAATAAATTTCAAACAAATTTAGATTAACTTGTAACAAAAATAAGAAAAATTTGAACACATTTTTTTTTTTAATTATTTGAATATACAATGAATCAAATAATAGATAATTTATATTTCATGAAATGTCTAGATTACATTTTTTACCTGTATTCTAAGATAAAAGCTAACAGAATAATCCTTAATATATTATAAGACATTTTTGTTTATTCTAATATAATATAAACCATTTGTTAGTAATATAAAATTTAGGGGTATAAAATTTTCTCAAAATCTTTTGAACTGATCGACTAAATTTGTTTGGTGTTTATTAGGTCTTAAGTACGAAAAAAGTAAACGCAATATTATTATATAAAGAATAAAATTTTACCGTTATCAAAGAAAGAAAATTATGTTTCATCCTCTGACCAATACGCTTTGGTTATACAACGATTTCTATTTTAGTTATTATATTTTTATAATATTCTTTTCATTAAATCATTATTTAGCACAACATACATCAGGTATAGTCGACATTGTCCTCGCTGAACTGTAATACGAACACGTATGAATTCCATAACTAAAATACAAATTCTCTTGATCGTTTCCACTTTTTGTTCTGTTTGCCGCCGAGGAATTATTATTCTTTGTTGCATTAAAATTTATTTTGAAAATCTACTGAATAAGAAAAATAAATAGCCTCCAGAGTTTTATGATTCAATTATCATGATGTTTTATCTTGCAAGTAGTATTATTTACACCTAAAATCATATAAAAAAAAATGTCCAACTAGACATTTTAACGTGTTAGCAACACTGATCTGTTCAATCATTGTGAGCCCCTATATATAGTATAAATATCATCATAATAATATTGTCCTAGATTATGAACGGGAAGATATGAATTTTCGTTCATCATTCCTTCCGGCCGTTCGCTTTTTGCCTACACGTAGTATAAATAGCCTGAAATGACTTGACAAAAACAATATTCGTCTCACTTTTGTCACTCTTATAATATTTTTCTGATTAAAAACAATTTTGATTTTGATTTAAACAAATTTAACTCAATTTAACTAAAAATTGAATACTATATTCATGTTTACCTGACAATAAATATTTATATGTAACTACTCTTATTATATATTGACTTAGTACTAAGTACTTGCAGACTTAGCAAAAATGTCCATAAGTTTATGCCTTATCAGCGTTTTAATGTAATACAACTTGCCAATATAAAATAAATTGGCATCTTAAAAGTTATCTTAAACATAAGCACACTTACAATTGGACTAGGTTTTACCACCACAACGATTTCTAAAGAATTATTTCAGAGTACAATTATTATACCAAATATTTTAACTTTAACTCGAAGTTAGATAAATTTAAGAATATTTATTAAGAATTAAAACATTTTCAGATATTTTATTAATGGTTACGCTGTGTATCGATGGAGCTAAAATTTAAATTCTAGTAAGATTTTATATTCTAATAAGAATTATTGTTAACTGATGATTCTGTTATATATAAATATATTACCCAAATAGTTATTAAAAATAAATTGACAATTGGTAAAATTCATGTTCACAAAAAAATGGTTAACGTAACAATGATGCATACTTTTCTATGGTATGGCAAGTGTATTTACTTAGTAAAAAAAAAAAAAATAAGATTACAATGATGAACTTACTTATAAGACTTACTTCGATAATCAAGAATTTAAAAAATATGGATAATTGATACAAAATTAAACCTCGGAAGTATTTATATATTAACATGCATATACTTATTTTAAACGACTTAATTTTTCGACTAAAACATAATCAAGTGACAACCAAAAATATGTACATCTTTCCTGTATTTTTGTAAAATACTGAATAAATTATTATTATACTAAGTATTTCATAAAGAAAATTAATCGTTTAAAATATGTAAGTTACTATACATTACATTGTAATCATAATCTCATTACAGATATGCTTCTATCTGTAATACACATGTAATTTAAATAATTAATAACTGAAAATGATTTTATGTTCTTTAGTATTAAGTACTGGTAACTTCAACTGAATGCCACATATGTTTCATAAACAATTAACTTCGTGTATATATAATAATACAAATATTATATGATAAGATAAAATTGTATAATTTACAATGTGATAACAATAAACGCGGGCGGCTGCTTTGAAAAAACATATGCCTAAATTATAATTTGGCCTAGTTCGATATTCACTTGGAATTTCAGAGTAAATAAATAAAGTTAAATTTAATATTAATAACAATGCAATAATATGTAAACTCTAAGTTAATTTAAATAATTATTTAGAATTTTACCTTTTATGTGTTTCATCCAAACGAAGTTCATGAACTCAGAGTCACAATCATACACTATCACTTTTTCAAATATATTCGCAACCCTAACACAGATGATTTACAGAAACAACGAAGAGATATTGAAAAATAAACTTTTAGTCTAATTTAAAATTCGAATGAAATATTTTTTTTACTTGATCAACTAATAAAAGTTGTAAGATCATCTTGTGCGCTAGGGATAGAAATAAACGGCAGTCACCTGTACGCATAAGCGCGCCACTATCTTGAACGGTTTGTGATAGGCAACTGCCGCCGTTTGATCGCGTGTTCTGGCGGCCCGTCCTACCTAAGTGGTTTGATCGGGAAGGGAAACATCACTGTCGACAATCGTCATATCTGCTATAAGGAAATGAAGTCATACAAAAGAACAAAAGACGCATGATTTGAACATTTTCAAAAAATAATATAGATTTTATTGTTATTTGTATTAGTTTACTGGAGACATATATTTTTCATGCATTTAAAAGATATACTTTTACTTTTAAACAATCTGATTGTTGCAATACAAAATCCGATCTGACGTCTTATTACTTCTGTATGTCATAAAAGTGTTTTAAATTATTGATAGAAAATAATACAATATACTATCATACCAAACTACATATTTTTTTAGATTCAGTCGCAGTACAGTACAGTACACATTAGTTGAAATAAAAATAAATTCACATTTATTAAAAGACTAAAAATATATACTTAATTTCAAAATATAAGCAATACAATTTTTTGTATTATTAAAACGCAATTACGAAGTTTAATTTTTAATTTTAATAAATTACATAACAGTTACTAATAGTCATGGTACTTGATTACAACCACAATATTTCTAAGCAAATAATTCATTACTTGTCACATTGATATTCATAATTTTTATTTTATACCTATTCAATACTTTAAATACTTGATAATTAACTTTTTATTGATAAGAAGCTCTTAATTTTAAACCATTGCATAGGTTATTCTTTAATAATAGGGAAAATAAGTTTTTTACAACAATCGATTAATACAACTGTAACTTAAAAAAAAAGAGATTTTTTTTTCCAAGTATAAATTAAATCTAAATATTAAATATAATTTTTTTTTTTTTTTAATTAAATCAATTGGGTAAGAAGAGTTAAAACAACTATTTCGTTTTTTTTTTACATGTAATAAAATTAGATTAAAAATAATGGAGAGACAGATTATTTGTTCTAAATCTACCCATAAATAATCTATATCAACACACCTAGTATTATGAAATATCCAATATTAAAAATACTTTCAATATTAGGATACTTTGAATTTTAGTAAATAGTTTAAGAAAACCTGTAATTTTGTAGATAGTTTTAAATAATTCTATAATAAAGTATGTATTGCAAAATTAAAATTTAAGTCTTCACACAACAAAAATTGGCTTACTAAGGAAACAAAAATTTCATGAATAGTTGACGTCTTAAATATTAGAACTATTTAAACATACTATTTAGAATGTTGTGAAAACAAAAAGAAACGTTGTTTTGATAGTTAACAATAATCTGTTACCACTCATTATAACTAGTAGGGTCCGACAACGATATATTTTTGGATATCAATATCATATTGAATAAATCGATATAAAAAAAAAAAAAAAATGGAATCAAAAATTTAATTTAATTTAATATTTAAATATTTTCACTATTTTTTTATTTTCAAGAATACTGTTAAAATATCATTGTTGTACAAATCGGACTATGGTATACCAACCAAATCGGATAATAATATTAATATAAAAAATATATAGATGATAGCTATATCTCATTGCGATAATTAAATATTTTCAAATTACCTTTTATTATGAAAAAATAAATTTATTTTTTGTTACAAGACTCTTTTATTATACATTGGTTATATTAAATAAATGAAATTGTTCTTTATTGAATAATAGTATTATAGTTTCAGTGTTTTGGTTTTAAAAAATAATAAAAAAAAAGATAATAAGTGTTGTTTATACATTTTTATTGCTTTGTCATAACTGAAAACAATTTTTCTTCTTTTCGAAAATAAAATTTTAACTTTTATAGAATAAAACATCATTAACTCCATCACTATCATCAAATAGGGATTTTTTTTTGACTTAATAATATCATTTTATTTTTCAGATTGAGTTTTAATTAGTTTTTGCTGCATATCTTCTAATTTTCCTCATACATTACTTTATTCGTGTTTTGTTAAAAATAGGAACAACAACGATGTCATAATAAAAAACCTAATCTAAGAACAGAATTTTGTGTCAATAAATATAATTTTCGTCTTATCTCAAGTCTATATTTCATAATATATTTTAGTATAAAAATAAACTAACCACCTAAAATATTAGAGATCTTAATTAGAAAATATTCTAAACATTTTTAATTTTCGCAGATCTGACGTCTGATTATCAAGAATAAAATGTTCATAATGTTGATACATAATTGTCATATTATGTCCCCCAAAGAATGATAAAATTTTCAGCTGGATTAAATTTTTACTTTGACAGTGGCAGCAGATAAGGTAAGACGTGTTTTTATAAGCTTACCGATTTTCGTTTTTTTTTAAAAATAGATCAAAAGATTTGTATAAAATTGAAATAAAGTGTATGAAATGTTTACAAAGGCCTATGTTGAGTCTGCCATGAGTAAAACAAGGGTTTACGAATTGTATAAGCGTTTCAAAGGCCGTGAAAACATTAAAGATGACGAACGCCTCAGCACATAAACAACCGATAAAAACGTGGAAAAAGTTAAAAAAATGGTTATTAAAGATCGCCGAATCACAATCAGAGAAGTCACTGATGATGTTGGAATATCGATTGGCTCATACCATGAAATTTTCTCGAATGTTTTGAAACGCGTAGCAGCAAAATTGTTGAATTTTGAACAAAAACAGCGGTGAATGAAAGTTGCTCAGGAGTTACTGAATGAAGTCAACGACATTGCAGAATTACTGAAACGTGTTATAACTGGTGACGAAACATGAGTTTATGGATAGGAAGTCGAAACTAAGGCTCAATCGTCTCAGTGGAGACATTCTGGATCGTCAAGATCGACAAAGGCTCTACAAAAGTGATCGAACGTGGAGGTTATGCTCACTGTTTTTTTTTTATTTTAATAGCAAAAGTGCAACATAAATTCTTCTTACGAGATGATTAAACGGTCAATAAGGAGCGCTACCTACAAGTTTAACGCCGTTTGCGTTCCAAAAGCAATCCGAAAAAACGCCCGGATTTGTGGCAAAACAATTCATGGCTTTTACGCCACGATAATGCACCTGCTCACACTTCATTGCTTGTTCGTGAATTTTTGGCCAAAAACAATACTGTAACGATTCCTCAGTCTCCGTATTCGACAGACATGACTCCGTGTGACTTTTTTCTATTTTCAAAAATAAAGAGAACCTTAAAGGCCCGTCGTTTTACAAGCATAGATGCCATCAAACCGCATAGCTGAATGAGCTGAAGGATATCCTAAAGATCGAGTTTGAGAAGTGTTTTGAGGATTGGAAGAAGCGTTAGCACAAGTACATAATATTTAATGGGAACTTTTTTGAAGGCAACAACATTAATGTAGACGAATAAATAAATGCATTTTTCAAATAATGAAAATTCCCGTTATTTTCTGAACATACCTCGTATATTGTTGTAACATACATATTGAACATTTTTTATACGTTAACACTGCGTATAAAAATAATAAGTGATTGCTATAATTTTATAGATTTTATAAATATGAATAAGACATTCATAATTGAGGCCTTTGTGTTTATTAGTTCTATGAATAGTTTTCACCTTAAAATTTTAAGACTAACTAATGATTATAATTATATTATGATTTTGTTAAATGTATCACAGAATAGATAAATAGATTTTAATAATTATGCTTCATAATATTTTTATGGAGATATAATAATTGTATCAAATTCTTAACAAATTATTTTTTAACATTTTTTTACCGTAGTTTATAGACATTATTATTGAATAAAATAATATTATCTATGAAGGTTGCTTTTTCTGGTGTTCTATAATCACTGCTTGGGTTTATTATCTCATATTATCATTTATGAAAAAACACAATTTTTTTTATGTTTTATGTGTCCTATGATGATATACTAATTATAACATACAAGAATATAATTTTGTACATTCATTACACACATGTAACTTTTGTAAAGTGTATTAATTTATAGATTAGAATTATACCTTAAGGTACATGAATCAATGTATAGAGTTTTTAGAAACATTTTCTTAGGTCATAAATATACTGCAGCTTTTTGTAAGTTAAAGTTTTGTTAAAATATTAAATTATATTTACTAAGTATATTATTAGTGCGCAGGTATTCAAAAATCACCATGCATAGTAATGTAGTAATGAAAGAGTTTGGTTCCAAATTCAAAATTCAAGTACTTCCAGCTCTTTCTGATAATTTTATGTATTTATTAATTGATAATACTACAAAAGAAGCTGCTATAGTCGATCCTGTTGCTCCTAATACTGTATGGGAAGCAGTCAAAAATGAAAATGTCAAACTGACTACAGTTTTAACTACACACCATCATTGGTATGATATTTATTTTATTTATTTATTAAGAATTGAAGCTACCATAAATATTTATACTGAATGGTATAAATTGTTTTGCATATATTTAATAAGAAATTCTTACTAAAAAAAATTGAATTATTTATTGAGAAGCTAAGATTTTTCTTTAATTTTACAATCAAACCATTATATTACGCTTTGATTAGTCAAAAGTAATCATTCACATATATTTGTTTTCAAATTAAACTAAATTTATTGATTTTACTCAAAATATAAACCAGTTTACATAATTTCTAAAAACGATAAAATTTTAAGAAACACATAACATTAAATTTTATTTTCATAGGGATCATGCTGGCGGAAATAAGGAGTTGATCACTAGTAATAGTGGTAGTCCATTAAATGTAATAGGAGGAGATAATAGGATTGATGGTTTAACAACAATTATTGATAAATCAGGAATAGAATTAAAAATGGGATCATTAAATATTAAATGTTTACGAACACCCTGCCACACTTCAGGTCATGTATGTTATTATGTATACACAAATGAAGCTAGTGTAGTGTTTACAGGTAATTTTTCTCATAAATTTTAACTTCTACTCAGGTGTGTCATATCATATTTTTTAGCATGGGTGAACTTTTAAACAAACTACTTAACACGCAAAAATTTGTATTAATGACCTTTTTATTTTTGTAAATAACTAATATTTTAGAAAACCCTAACTTTCATAGGCCTTTGATGACTTAGATTTTTGTGTATATATTTCTAGCACCTCCATAACTAAAAACCTATGTTCCTAATATGAGTTCTCTATGAACTGTTTTAAAATTTGTCATGTCATTAATTATTAAAAATACTCGATTCCTTATTTAATTAAACATATATATAACGTATTTTCTTAAAATTAAATAACATATTTTTTTTAGGTGACACTTTATTTTTAGGTGGTTGTGGAAGATTTTTCGAAGGTACTGCACAACAAATGTATGAAGCATTAATCAAAATACTATCACAACTACCAGATAATACAGTCAGTTTATTTTTTCTTTATAAATTAATTGTTATCTGAGTAAAGTAAATATTCCAGGCTGTATTTTGTGGACATGAATATGCTATTCAAAATCTTAAATTTAGTAAACATGTTGAACCAAATAATGTACATCTGTTATCTCTTCTAAAAGAAATTGAGATTAAAAGAAAAATGAATGAACCAAGTGTGCCTTCAACTATAGGTAAAATTTTTATACACAAATATTTATAATTAAAAATATTTTTAATTTTGTAGCACATGTGACACAGTTAATGTTATAACTGCATTCTTTTTAGACATATATCACACTATCAGTTTAAACAAAAAAATATTAGTGAAAATAGTTCTTTACATAAGACCATAACAAAAATTATTAAAAAAAAAAAACATTTTATAATTTTTAGCTTAGATGCAAAGCTGAGGAGAAGGTATTAGTTTTACTATGATGTGTTTTTTTTTTATTTTTTTTTTTGTAACTGTTACCATTTTTCTCAGTTCTCACTGAATCGATTTATTTCAACGATACGTCAAAAGATACAAATCGTAGCTTATCAAAGACATTATGCTCAAAAATTGAAAAAAATTCCTCTCGTTCCCTGTATATTGGGGAAATCTCCAAAAAAATTACAAAACTAAAAATCGCTAATTTTTGACATTTTTTTCAATTTTTTTTACTTAAAACTGTCCTATGCTAATTTACAAATTTTTAAGTTATCAAAAATTCAATAATGCCTTTCTTAATTTTGAAGAGGCAAAATAAGTATAAATTTATATTTAATGATTCATGTAAATTTTATAATTAGTGGTGAACTCATTACTATGGCAAAACCTTATAAGGTATTTTAATATAAACAAAAAAAAATAAAATTTGAACACAAAAACAGCATTTTTTTAATTAAATTTGTTAATGACCCATCAAAATTTTAACAAGATAAACTTAAAAAAAGGCTATATTGAAATGTTAAAAAATATTGTTTAATCAAATCAATAAAACGTAGAAGTTTCATTAAGACAAAGTTTTTATTCATTTATTGATTGTGGACTTATAATGTAGCATATAAATATAATTCAATTTAGTGAGTAAATGTTTTCTTAAGATATTTCCATTTAAGAAAATTAAAATTAAGGTTATTTATTCCTCAATGGATGAACCAAAAAATTATTTATCTGCATAATATTCTTTACTTAATGTCCAGCCCAACTACATAATATTGTAGTTTTATGATCAAATAGTTTTTCTCATAACGAAAATTAAAATTTTTCAATAGTTCTAAGAAAATTAGTACCTTATTCCTATTTGATCACCCTGTGATAAATTATTATTACCTGAAAATTTTTCTGCTGGTGGCAGTGTGCAATTACTACACTATTTCAAATTCATTCCTGATCTTATCTGTTTATTGACTTAGTAGCCTAAGGTTGCAATTTAAATCTTTTTTTCTATATAATTTATAATGAACCTTGGAAGATGGAGCAGAATTGTATATTTTCTTATACTTACCATACATATTAAATGTTATAAAGTAACACTATCAATTATAAATTCATGTTCTAGGCTTGGAAAAATTGATAAATCCTTTTATGAGAGTAGATGAAGAGTCAATACAAAAAGTTACTGGTACTATTGGTGATTCAATTGAAACCATGAAAATTCTAAGAGAAATGAAAAATGATTTCAAAGAATGAAAATATTTTCACAAATCAAATATGTTACATATTTACAATTTATATAATTGATTTATATATATATATATATATATATATTTATATTTATATATCAATACAATTAAAAAACAAAAATAAAACATATCTTATTAATTTTTATTTATTATAAGTTGAATATAATATTATTTAAAATCATTTCAAGTACAATTACTAAAAATAAAAGAATAAATATTGTTTAAAAAATCCAATCATAGGTGTTTATTATATTTTATCATAATATATACAATATTTATATGAAATTTTACATTCATTCATAATTTGAACTAGTAATTATGACACAAATCATTTGTTCACATAATTATGAACTAGTAGGTTGGACTGCATTTATAGCTTTAGTGAGAGTATATTCCTCCATATCTGCTGCATATTTTTCTTTTGATCTCTCGTACATGTCATAATATACCTTAAAATTTAATGTTATCATAATTAAATTTAAAATACCAATGTAAACTATATAGTAAGTGGTTAACATTTTTTATCTTTATACAATTTATAATAATATATATATATCTGTACCAAATTTTCATAGAAGTAAACTGACATAATAAAACAAATCTATATATATTTTGAGAAAATTTGGACAAAATTTAGTTTTTTACTTTTAAATTAACATAAAATTATTTTGGTTAAAACATTGGATGTTGTATTATTACAATGTCCATGTCTTTGTCTTTCATATAAAATACTATTATTCAACTTTGGAAAGTTATTACAAAAGATAGGTAACTTTAAAAGCTTTTACACTTTCAAAAATGATAAAAACGCATTATTTTAAAAACAAGACCTGATTAGGCAATTATGAAGTTATTTTGAAAATTAATAACTTCAAAATATTTAAAAATGAACCCTTACACCACTGAAACTTGTATATATTTTTTTGCCAGTGTTATTAGGAAGGCAAGAACTATGATATTAAAATGAAAACTGTTAGGTACGTAAAATAATACTTTCTTCTAGGAGTGCTGTTTTTAAGAGCTTTGCACTATTTTTCTGGAACTAGCAAATTAAAAACAAACCTTAAGTTCTATTTGAGAATAAGATATTAAGTTAAAAGCTTTTTTTTTGTTAGATAAAAATGTATTAATTATAAATATTTTCTAATAGTTAGTGTAATAATAAATAAGTAATTTTTTTTAAACGAGTTTGTTAGAAAAATATAAAAAAATAGTTTATAAATTTTTTTAATTTTAGAAGTGAAGACCAAAAAAATTGAGTAGATCATTACCTTTTTATCATTGTGTCCCATAGTGTTCCATGTAATAGCTAATCTTTTAGTTAAATCTTGTTTGGTAGGTTCACCTTCCCCTGACATAATGATTTGATCAAGGACAATAGGTCTTTGTTCTTGACAAAAGCGGAAAAATGGATTTGCTGGTCGTTTGGGTAAATTGGGATCTTTTTTTTCTGTAGATTTAACATTTGTATGGCGTTTACTATTAGGAGTATCAGATGTGCCTGGATGCTGCAAGGAAAATATTTTTTTAATGATACTTCAGTATTATTATTGAATGTTACCTTAATATTAACACCATCAGATATAGGTGAATCATGTCCTAAGTCAATTTGAAGTTTAGCTTCTCTCCAGCTATCTCTATGTTTATCTAACCTGTCCATAATGAATCTACAATAAAAATCGTAATTCAATTAATTAATGTTTAAAGTAAAATATATGTAGCTATTGCTTTAATGAACTAAAAAAATGTAATTAATTAAACTAAAATAATTTTGTATAAATGGAAAATTACTCTAAGAAAGATATATAATTATTAAATCACAATAAAATAAATTAATGTAAACACAAAATGTCTAAAATTAAATTCATTTAAAAAGAAAGTTACTTTCTTTCCACTCTAACACGTCTCAATTGTTTAGATACTTGATGGATTCTATAAACTAGGCGTTCATTGTCCTAAAATATAAAAATTTTATATAAGGATAGTTTTAAAAATATATACGATATTGTTTATAATAAGATAAATATTGGATATTAGTACAAAGAGCAATTTTTTATTGCATTTATAAATCCATCTTATACACAACCAGCTAAATTATAGTTAACCTGTTGCAACCTTTCACAACGTTCTAAAACTGCAATGAAATGTTTTTTATAAAACTTTTGTTTTTGATGTTGATTGACTGCGTCCATTTCAATAATATTATCTGAACTTGAATTGTCCATTGAAGAATATTTTTTAAGCATAACAGGGAAAACTCATAATTATCATCATATATTAATGATCAGCAAAATTATTATAAGATATTTTTAAACTATTAAATCACTCAAAAACAATATTAATTAGGTAGAAAACAGCAGCTTAACTTAGTATATAATTTTTTAAATTCAACATATTGTAAAGATAATATATTTATTGATAATATTCGTCTATCATAATAACCAAAGTGGATTTATAAATCCATTTTGATGATAACATTTGCGAGTTCTGTAATGTAGTGAGGGGAAATATGACTTTTATATAGTAACACTGGTAATCACGCGATTCCCTAACGAAGAAAACAGCTGTTGAAATCTAATATTTTATAAGTCGATCAACATTTCCACTCGAAATTTAACGATCCACAAAGTAGCATTGTTCTATTGTTGTGCAGTTAATTAATATTAAATTAAAATTAAGTTGATATTATAATTTTTTATTTGTTAAAAGCTCTTGTGATTTTATATTATATTTTATCATTGATAAATTCCATTTTTGTGTTTAATCAATCATATAGTTACTATAAATTATAAACAGTTTAATACTATAGCTTTCATACATATCTAGTCTAAATGAAAAAATTGTAAAATATTCATCAGTTAAAAAATGATCTGTGATTTTGGTTTTTAGCAAAAGGTAAATTGTATTATTATAAATAAAAATAGTTCAAAAATATGTTTCTAAAAAAATTGAATAAATTGTAAAATATTAAACCTTTCAATTTTTAATGTCAAATTTCATAATTTAATTTATTGATTCACTAATTAGTATACAAAAAAAAAAAACTATCTAGTTAAACTAAATAATTAAACTTAACCTTTTTAAATATTAGTGCTCAGCCTTATTTTTTACAATCAGTTTTCAAAAAAGGTTATTTTATTTAGTATTAATTTTATTTGATGAAGAAGTAGATCTAGTGTTGTCTTATATATAAATTAAGTGAAAATTTAATTTATTTGCATATTTTTTAGTTAAAAATCTGTTAGAAAATGTGTAAAATCCTTATTTTTTATTTACTTCACAAATATTGTACTAACAGTCATCATTTATTTTGTTTATTTTAAGTATTAATAAAGTGAATTAGAATTTAACTTAATTAAGTACTTATGATAATTATATAATGTTTCAATAGTAATCATTTTAATCTTTTTCAATCTTCTTTAATTGACCTAGTATTAGAATTAATTTTTAAATAGATTACAATATAGATATTTATAGATTTGGAGATCATAGTGTATGATAGATTACTGAGAGAAGGTTGTGGGTAAAAAAAGGAGTGAGAAAAATACATTAATACAATAGAGGACATATATGATGGCACTTGTAACAGGGTATAAAGTGTGAACGGCATAACAGAAGATTTTAGGGTAAGGGTAGGAGTGTTCTAAGGTTCTGTTTAAGCCCTTACTTACTTTCTATAGTGATGGATGAAATTACTAAATAAATTCAAGGAAAATTACTGTAGTGAATACTGTAGGAGTATAGGTGTAGCGTCAATTGTGGATAAGATGACAGAAAATAGACTTAAATGGTTTATTCATGTTATAAAGGGAGAGAAATTGGAAGCTGTAAGAACAGTTATGGAAATAAATGTTGGGAAAAGAAGAAGTAGAGGAAGACCAAGAAAAAGATGGAGAAATGTTATTGAATGTGATATGAGAATGGATGATGTGTGCGTAGATGATGTGGTAAATTATGTCGAGTGGAAGTTTAAGATAAAGGTGGTGAACCCTAAGTAGTTAGGATAAATGCAAGGATAAAAGAAGATTAAAATTCATTTTTATATACATATAAAAGCTTAAATGTGTCATGTTCTTAATAAACTATAGTTTTTACAGTAATATTGTAATTAAAAACTTGTGAATGAACTAGTTGATTAACATGTACAAGACCCAAGTCTAGTATTTTTAAATGGATCTTTTTTCCGTTTTTAGAAACATAAATGTAACTTTTCCGTTCAGTATAGTATATGCACTATATCAAATTGAAATTATTAATTAAATTTAAATTTGATAAATTAGTTTTACATATATTGCATATCACTTGTAACCTTAAACTAGCTTTGTAATGATTTTTTAAATTTATATGAAATGTTTTTAGGCATAATTGAAAATTTAAACATCTAGCTATGCATGATGTGAATTTTTGTAATCATAATAGAAGTAAATAAAACCTTCAAATTATAAAAAAAAGTAATAAGACTTAATTATTTCTAATTTTTTCTTTAATGATATAAATGTTTTGTTTTTTTTACCTACCATTAATAACATAATGATCTGTATTTCCTTGATCACTACTTACTAATGACAAATATAAATTAAAATAAATTTTTCAGATTTTCTTATAAAAAAATTATTTTACTGAATAGATAGATAAATAAAACTATTTTATCGCTTATTTAAAATACTTTTATAACTTAAAATTTTAAGCTTTTTATTTTAGAATTTCTTTGCTAACCATAAGCACAAATAAAGAGATACTTTAGCTAGCTACTTTTTTTTTAATTTTATCTTTTAATACTGTGAGTGTATACAATGCATTGATGTAGTAGGTAAATTTTCATAGTGATTTGTTTTGGTTTCAACATTTTTAATAATAAAAAATAAAAATAAAATCATGAATTATTACATAAAAAAAAAAAAAACAAAATTATGCTTATAGAATTTCTGACAAAAATTATGTCATCCAAGCATATGTATTAAATTATGCGGGGAACTGTTAAGTTTAACTATTACTAATCTATCTTATACAATATTACTCATTTTTATATTGATAAATCACATATATATGTTTATTATGACTTATTATTGTACACGCTAGGCTGCCATTGATTATATTTTAAGCTTATATTTTGTAAAATTTCCTCAAAAAATGTATTGTTACCATAAAATGATAATAATACTTCTTTTGTTTAATAAAAGATAAATCATTTGAATAAACTTATTTTATAGATCAATAAATTTCGTTCTGTTGTAGATAAGCTTTTAAAAATAAACTGAATTTTTAAGACGAATAAAATGTTAAATTTCACCGTGGCGTATTTTTTTTTAATTGGAACTAAAAAAAAAATATCAATAAATTAAAATTTAACTAAAATGTAATCAAGTGGTCAGGAGTTTGGGATCTTGGGCTTAAGTTTCTCAACATTTCAGAAATTAGTTATGTGGTATTCAAATATTTTCAAAGGGGAAGAAATAAGAATTAGCCGCCGATATTATTTTTTATCTCTGCCTATAGTAATCAGTATAATTAATCGAAATTGTAAGAGTATATGATTTGATATAATGAAGTAATTTTGCTAAAAAATGTCTGATAATATTATGTGTATTGTAATTTCAATTGTCATCAAATGCATGATTCAGTCTATCTATTTTTTAAGTGGTCGACTGTAAAAGATACAAGGTGTTCTTATCTCATTGTAACACAATTATTCTACTATATCATTTTAGAAGTGCTTTTAATAATGAACAGCTATTATTTGACGTTTAATTTGTTGAAAAATGAAAATAGTAATCTTACCTACTTGAAATATTTTAAAAGTTTACATTTTATCGTTTTTATACATACAATTTTTCCAAATATTCTAGTACGGCTTAAAATTATCAATGATTACTAAAAGTTGAAGCACATTAAAAAAAAGACTTCATATCGCAATTTTAGCCTAACTTCAAATTTTTCGATTTTTTTTATTGATATATTTGTTTTGATTTATGTTGATTTAAAATTATCAAAAATCGTTCCTCACTACCCTCCGCTGTTTTATTTATCAAATCTTTCCCACATTATAAGCGCAATAACATTGAATAAGACAAAACCAATTGTGTTGAGTTATTTTCGTAAAATTTTATTAAGTAGGTTAATATTTTATAAAATTATTATAACCAATGTAAATGAAAAATATTAATTGTAATAATTTTAGACATAATCTAAAATTATAAATTTTACTATGGCTCCGTATTATTTGTTATCTATCCATCTACATTATATCTATATCAAAATTTCAAATATTCTGAAAATTACTAATTTGATTACTAATTGATATTGTTATTTAAAAATTCAGTTCTGAAAATCACTAGGCATCGTCTATTTGTTAATTAGAATTTAAAGTGTTTAAAAACTAATTTGTGCTCGTAGATTATAATTGGTCTTATTAGTAACATTCACTTATGTTTTGAACGAGTGGCGTTTTTATTAATTCATTCATTATAAATAATTGAATCACAACTATTTCAATAAGTTATTGTATTATGATTTAAAAAATTGCTAATTATTACATTTATACTTTTTTTTTTTAGTTTACACTCTAATGTCAGAATTCTTTTATCATAATAAAAGCATTAATAATAGTATACCATTACGTGTTACTTATAAAGTAACAATGTTTATTAATAAATACAACGCTTTATATCTGATTCAATGAATCAGATGCACCTATTACCTAATAGTATATAAATATATTGAAATATACTAATGTTCGGTACTCGTATTAAATAATGTAATAACAAGAAAGTACTCTATTATTAGAGCACTAAAGAAAATCGTGATGTCATTACCTTTTGTGATTGCAATTTTTAAGTAGTATGCTCAGAAATTTTAAATGGGGGCATATTATTATCAAAGTATGCTATACTCTTGACCTTTTTTGATTTATCTGATTTTTTTCGTGTATTTACTATGTACGTGGGTTTCTCGCCTCAGTATATACTAACCTGAATATCACGTTTAAAAACATTAGTAATACAATATTAATGTAAATTTACTAATATCAATTCTTAATTAAAATAATGTATTTAAAATACATAACAATAAAAAACTACCAGGCTTACCTTTATGTATTTAGTTATTTTACCTACTTCGTGTATAAAATATACAATTTTATTTATAAATATTATTATCCAATGGAAAAATTCCTTTTTAAACAGAACTCGTTTCTCTTTTTGCTCTATTTTTGTTAAAAAAGTATTTATAAACCTACTATTATTATTGTATTAATATTATAACCAGTTTAAAAATAAAGTATAGGGTATATTTTAATCATCCTGTGCATAGGTGCAATTTAAACAAAATTCAAAATTAACATATAATTTAAGTCATTTTTTTAAGAAGGCTCAGCCTTCTAGACCTTTCATATTGTGCCTATGATTTTGTGCTTTCAAGATATTACGTTTTTAGTGTAATTATTAACTTAATAATTGAGATGTTACGAACTCTTATTTTCGTAGTCGAACCGAACATCAATTTTAATAATTTTTGGGCAAAATAACTATATTATTATTCAATGTAATATTTCATTATACTAGTTCAAATTTCAAACCGATTTACTAGGAAAATGTTAAGTTCGAACATCAATTTTTAGTATGATTAAAAATTTTTAATACTAAAGTAATACAAAGATTATATTAAAATTATAAAATGTTGATAACATATTGGAGACATAATACAGATTTGTAATTATGGTTGTCAGATTTCAATGCAAAAACTATTGTTAATAGTACATTTTAGCTTCGATGCGAAGCTGAGAAGGTATTGGTTTTACTATGATGTGTTTTTTTTTTTTGTGTCTGTTACCACTTTTTCTCAGCTCTCACTGAACGGATTTCTTTCAACGATACGTCAAAAGATCACAAATCGTATCT